AGTATCTGGGGAGCTGGAAGATGAGAACTGGCGACTTTGTGGTACAACTGCAGTACGCGGAGTATCTGGGGAGCTGGAAGATGAGAACTGATGACTTGGTAGTACAACTTTAGTACGCGGAGTATCTGGGGAGCTGGAAGTTGAGAACTGGCGACTTTGTAGTACAACTTTAGTAGGAGGAGTATCTGGGGAGCTGGAAGATGAGAACTGGCGACTTGGTAGTACAACTTTAGTACGCGGAGTATCTGGGGAGCTGGAAGATGAGAACTGGCGACTTGGTAGTACAACTCCAGTACGCAGAGGTGACTTGCGAGAGGTCAAGAACTTGCAGAAAAGAGGTGTTCCTGCACGTCAGAAAGACATACGGAGAGAGACACATACACACACAGAGACATAGATACACACACAAACACCCACACACTGCCTCAACACACTCGACTTAACACTTCACACTGAACACTTAACACATAACTCACACTCTAACTTCACACGTGATGAAAAATGCTTTCCGGCCACTCGTCGTCTAGTTAGTATTGGGCCTTGGCCACCGTTTGATCTTGACCATTGAATGAGCTTGAAGGCATTTGAAGGCATTTGGTGTCCGCCTCGTTCACCATGTATTTCAAGGCCCTTGGTGGCCAAGGGCACCAAAGGGACCCAGGCTGCACCGTGAGCTCGCCGACACCCGAAGCCTCAGTCCCAACACGGTTGTTCAAACTCTGTCCATTGAATCCAGCAAAGGTGTTTTTGACCATTCAAGATCTGAAGGACAGCCTTTGGAGGCACTTCCTGGTCAACCCATATCATATCAACCCAACATTCTTCTCCAACAGCGAGCCACAATGAGCGTGCTGTCGTTTAAATTATGCCAGCATCGACCCCAACCAGTTTCAGCCTTGTTTTTGTGCGTCAACTCTTCGAATTCGACATGTGCAAAACAAAGGGAAACAAGTAATGAGAATATCCGAGGATAGGATGATATCAAATTTGAACGCTGCACAACGCAAACAAGCAGGACAAGCAGGGCAAGCAGGACAGACGGACCAGGAAAAGACTTGGACAAGGCTGGACAAGGCGGCGGCGCCGCCGCCAAGCAGACCCGGACAATGCCTGGACAAGGACAACGCAGGGCGGTGCGGCCACTGCTATCATGGCCAGCCATTTCTTTCTGAAACTGCTTGGGTTGGGGAACAAGAGGAGGACACAGCGTTCGCAAGCATGGCCAAAGGACAGAAGGAGAACAACAAAAGGACAACACACGGACACAGTTTTGAAGGGCACAACTAGAAACTGGCCAGTCTCTTTTTTCCAGAGAGAGAACCCCAACAGTAAACTGTTTAGAGAAAAGGTACCCAGCAAGGACTTGGAGGCCATAGCTAGTAGGTTGGAGGCCATTTCGTGTAATGAAAAACCCAACGCAGGACGTCCACCTCCTCGGAGCCCCCCACAGTGGCACGAGAGCCATTCACGGTGCCGCTCCAGAGGCGCCTCAGCGGAATCGCGCCCACAACATGGATGCAGCGGCCGTGAAGGACAGCAGGGGCCCTGCAGGCATGCAAACTGCTTGCTGCTTTGGGGGCTGTGCGCTTTTGGGCTGTTTTGGCTTGGGGTCAAGCTAGGGATTGGGACCATTCGCACGTTGCAGCTTCTGCTTGACACCTCAGTTTTGTCTAAAGCCTTGCGCACCATTGGTGCAAGCCTGCCCAGCTCGCTGGCTGTTCGATGAATATCAATCGGAAAGAATTGTATCAACTCAAGCATCCTGTATTGCGTGATTGGTTTGTTCATGTTTTTGCCAACTTGGCTTTGCCAACTTGGCTTTGCCAAGGATGCTACCGCAAAACGATTTGCAGTTCTTCGGTGACAATCTGTACACTGCCACTCCAACTTAGACTCAGAAGTCGGACTCCTTGACTCGATAAGGAGTTCAATCCTCTCTCTTTTTGCCGACGTTTTACGCGCCAAAGCATAGCAAAGGCTCGCCTGAACGAGGATATGAATAGTAGACTCCACCTGGCTTGCCACCAACATATGGCCTGCCATAATTTTGGAGTACCAGCTTGTCTGCTCCATCTAGCTCTTTGGCAGAAGGGCCCTCCACTTTCTCCATGGTGTGCTTGTCGGTGACTTCATCCCCCTTCACCGCGTGGGTAAAGTCTGCCACATCGTAGTTGGCGAGGAGGGCATTGCTCTTCTCGAGTCTCTGCATGTCCTGTGCATGGGCCTTCTCGTAGTCAACACCAAACTTGTTGACACGCTCTACAAGTTCTGCGGCAGTGAGGCTTGAAGCATCGGCAAATGCCTGGCCAGCAGCGTGTAACTTCTGCAAAGCTTCTTTCAAATAGGCCAGGGGAAAGTGGCGCAGGCGCACAAAGTGGGCACCACGTCTAAAGACACCCAAATGTGAGGGCAACAGCGGCGGGAGCATAAACTGAAGATGCAGCTGGTACTGTGAGGGTGGCAAGTTGAAAGCCATTATGACATGTTCCCTCAGAGCATCTACTGGCATCTCATTTCCTGCAGCTGATAGAGCTTTCTGCTTCCACTCAGGAGACGCCAAGTGATTTTGTGTCAGCGCAATCCAGGCCGAGTCTTCCATCTTCTGCAAAAGAGCAAGAGCTGCACCGGGATTGGTGAAGAGGTATCGAATGTCAGCACAGTACTGATCTGTTGGTACAGAAAGAACGTGAGCACCTGTGATTGACAACGGGTCGTCAAAAACCAAGATATCTCTCGTTTCTAAGCGTATTGAAATCCTCAAGGGGAAGGCCGTCTTGTCCACGCCATAGATGAAGGCGACAAAGAGGTTTGCACTCTTGGACACGGCGACTTCCTCCAGCGCTGTTCCACAGGCATTGCAAAGAGCCATTGTGACAGCACAGGGCTTTCCACAATTGGGGCACTTTTTGATTTCGTTGTAGGCTTGGCTCAACAACTGTGGATTCTCTTTGATCCACACATCAAAGCCACATGTCATCTTTGGCTCCTGTAGCCCCACTTCTTTGGGAATCTCCACAGATGGGAAAGCTGCTGCAATGGCACCTGCGAGAAGTGCACCATCGGCTCTGCAGCCTTCCTTGCTCCAACTTGAAGACATGATGGGCCAAGTTCGGCCGTGGAATTCGGGTTGCTTGAGCACTATCGGGGTATCACAGAAAAAACAATTGTCAGATGTTCACATGAAGAAGTGACCACTCTTTGCATGCCTCGGACCAATCCTTGAGCATGCCGCTGTGGTCAAAATCTAAGGTCCTTTTGTCCTTCGACTAGGTCTTGTCAAAATCCCAGGTGAACGAACAAGCCTTCCCAAAAGATATCAAGCAAATAATTTCACATTGTCTCTGCGCCGATTCTGGCTCCAGTGATTTGAACTTGCATCCAAGAAGCCAAAAAGCGGACTTTCTTGCAAAGACCTGGCGTCAAAAAACAGCCTTGCTCATGTTTCAGAGTCTCAGTTGGTTTTGGGGTGTTTTGAGCGTTTAGCTTGCAATTTGCTTGTTGGATGGAGTACATGTGGTTAGTAAGTTCAAACAGAAATTTGTGAGGGCAAAAGCGGCAAAATGTGGGGAAAAATCAACATGCCAGGCGATGCATTGTGCTATTCAAGAACCCTCAACACATGCCAACCCAAACAAGCCACTGGCAGCTGCAGCACGTCGGCCATTGCAGCATCTGGAAGTCTGGAAGCAAAGAATCTTCCCTCGCTGTACGCGTCAAAGGTCCATGCTCTTGCAGTTCCAACGTCTAGAAATATCTATATAAAGACTTTCTCCTGAGAGTATGGTAGATAGATCTAAGAATGTTCCACGCTATCGTGGAGTCCATAGGCATGCATAGCATTGGCATAGGCGATCAACAAATAGCTATGTTCTGTACACATCATCTCAATTCGATGACACTTTGTGATCATTGTCGCCACTTCATCCGAGCCATTCGCCAATCAAGCCTTCGACCAAACTTGTCCAGTTGCGTGCGCTTATTCCCTTCCCAGTAAGCTCGAGAATCTTTGCAGCGCTCAACTTGGGATACTGTGTCTTTTCTTTCTCTCTCTCTCTCTCTATCTCTCTCTCTCTCTCTCTCCATCTATCTCCTTCTCTTTCTTTTACCAGGCATGTACAGAAGCTGCTCTGGACACAGCCCATCAAAACCTCGTAACCAATCGCGCAGGTGCGCAATGACTAGCTGAATTCTGAATTCGGTCTGGCTTGGTGCTGAGAATCAATGATCAACACCAAGCATGCAACCGTCGGCAGACAGTAGGATCAAGCGGCCCGATGCGGCTCGTGTTCCTTCTCTCAGAACTTTCGGCACTTCAGCTGAAGCACAGCTGTAAGTCTTCCTTGTTCTGGCCTCCTGGCTCAAAGAAGAAGCAGACAGGATCAACCAGGAAGCTCAGAACTTGTAGCTTGAGAGGCAGATGCGCAATGACGTCCGATAGATGAGTATTTCTATGGGGCAGTAACGAAAATTTGGTCTGCTCAGTCTGCTCCTCTTCAAACTTGCAGGAGAGTGATCGGGCTCGGCGTTCCTGGCATGCCATTGAAGTAAAACTGCAAGTCGCAAGTCTCTGTGTTCGGGGGCCACGGAGCAAGGGCATCGCTACTAGAAACAAAGGGCATTAGTAGCTTCTTGTTACTACTAGTAAGGCACTTGTTACTAGAAGCGATGCACTTGTTCCTAGTAGCTTATTGTTACTACTACTAGGAGCATTCTTGCTAGTAACAAGAAACATCCTTTTTACGTTAACGCCTTTGTCACAAAACATCACAGAACGAGAGGCAGTCAAGCGGGGCCTTTCAAACCAAACCCGTCGAAGACAATTCAAAATGAAATAGATCGGCTGCTTCCAGTCTCTGAACCTCAATCTCAAAGCCCACTCAAGAATACTTTTAAAACATCTTGTAAGCAATCGTGTTTGGCACACAGGTCGCTACTGTATAAGCTACTCAGCAATGTGTGTTTTTGCTGCAAGGCTCCGTGGACTGGCCTTCTGTTGAATGAGCACAGCTCGAATTGGGCATCAAGCTAATCTATTTTCCGGCTACTGTATATAACGGAGATGTGGTGTGGTCATGAGACGACTATATCAAGTGAACTACCTGGCCCAAAGCCTCCTACAAGTAGTCAACTGAGGACTCAACTGTGCGACAGAGCGATCTGGCAGAAAGTTCAGGTCGTACCACTCGACTGGACCTCTGTGGGACGTAAAGTTGCCACATCACATCTTCATCGAAAGAAAATCTGTCTGAAGGCTCGGTGGTCGTAAAGCAAACAAGGCACACATGAGGTTCAGTACAAATAAAGGTCGCAAATTACCGGCTGCTGCAGCTGCGATGGATTGCGGTCCTCGACCTCGTGCAACTCCCTTGGAGTTCTGAGAACACCCCCGGCCTTGTCCGTCTAATAATAATCCGAATAAGATGTATATAATGGTAGAAAATAATAGATCCTAAATGATCCTAATAGATCCTAATAGTACACATTGGAGATTTGGGGAGTCGTCTAATGTGTCACATGATTCCAAGCCTGGCCTGACTGAACTTTTGAGAAACTGCTGGTGGCATAGAAATTTGCAATGGACGTGTGGATTGGCGTCTCTTCCACAAAGCGCCCGTTGATGTATAGAAACATGAACTGGTCGCTGGCGTGGCCGTCTTTCAATCTTGAGATGACACCTGCAACAAGGTCCAAGTTGAACTCCATCAAGTTACCCAAGCGATCTATGCTAGTTGCCGCAACCCCAGCACCTTCACAAAGTCCTACACACGACTATGCTGGGAGCATCTTCAAGATGAAAAGCAGAATGTGTCCCACCTTCTAGGCTGCATGCACTTCGGCTTGATGAGAGCTGCACCCTGGCCGCAATGCTATGAAGCCTACTGAAGCTCCAAAAATTAAGGCTGTCTAATGCTTCCTGTTTCTCATCCTAAGAAAGCGCTAGGCCGCTAGATGTTCTTACCGAAGGCCTGTCACTGTTCCTAGCGGTGTCGGTCCGTCTGGGTTGTCAATGTCTGAATGCTCACTTGAACAGGTCGCTTGTCGCAGCGCGGTGGCCTGCAAAGAGCACGGGCGCAGCTCAAACCAAGAACGCGCTGCATTCGAGACATGACATCTTCCTGCTTAAGGTCAATGATCTCTACCTGCACGAGCAAGCTTGTTCGAGGATATTTGATAAAATCAATCACGCTAATGGATCTTGGAAAGTCTGAGCAAGCAATGTAAAGAAGTCGAAGCACGCAATGTCGGCGTTTTGATCTCAGGATCTCTTTACCCCAAACTCTCTCTCTCTCTCTCATTTCCTCACCTTGTCCTGCTATTGAAAAAGTACACTGTCCAGCCATAGCACAAAATTGACACACTTAGCACGGTCTGAAACAAGAAAAACATCTGCTAGTACCAGGGGCATCGAAGGGCATTACTACTATAGTAGCTTCTAGCTGCTAGTAGTAATGCCCTTGTTGCTAGTAGCATACATAGTCTCCTCACCAACCTCACCCTGCCTCTCGTGGGCCGGTGCGAAGCCGCAGTGCCAGCTGCGGCCGCAGCAACGCCATCCGGTCCAGCCGTCGGCGCAGCTCCGACGGGCCCTGCTGGCAGCAATGATCATAGGATCGTGCTGATGGATCATGAGGTTGGAAAATCACGGAAGATCTTCAAAAGAAATAAGAAATAGATTGCAAGTAGGTGTGGTTCGATTTAGATCGAGTCTAACGCACAATGGACACGATCGACACGCGTCTGGCCTTGCGGCAGGCCAAAAAGCCCTCGACGCGCAGTGTAGTACCAACACCTATCAACTCATTGGGTCTACAGTGAATGTTCTTGAGTGTAAGGACTTGATCTTGATGTACACTGCTTTCAACTTTATATTAGACCTTCTTGAAAGTTTCTTCCGAATGTGTAGTAGGCAAAGGTTTCCGGCGAAGGCCTTCAGCATTCTGATTCCAACACAGCATTCAGGCAACTCAAGCACTCAAGCAGTGCTTTGGATTGTGAGCAGACTGAATAGCTCAATTGAGCCCTTGAGCTTGTAAGCTCCTTGACAGCTAAGTCTGTGTGAGGCACCTCCTCTTGGACTGCCGCTTGGCTCACATCTCACAGCTATGCCGCGCTCGAAGCACTTGCACCATGTTTCTTTGCTGGCCACCTAGGAGGATGTCCCTTTCGTGTGGCTTCCCTTGGTTCTGATTCTATTATATTCTATTCCTCCCCGTCTCGACGGTTGTGCTAGAATCAATGGCACCTATGCCTCTACCCAAATATTAAACTAAACTGATTATATTATGATTATATAACTATTCTTATCTGATTCTTCTCCTCCAAGGAGAAAGGGCATGAAGGACAGGGAAGGCAAGGGATGGGCAAATGAATGCAAAGGAGCAATGCGGACGCCGACCTTTCAACATCTTTCGACTCAGTTCGACTCGCCAGCCTTCGAAAGGATGAGCACACGCTCACATCGTGCCACTAAAGCTGCTAGTGACTCTCCTCGACCCTGACCACCTCGAGCACCGCGATGCCCAAGAAGTGAAAAATCCTGGTGCGTTCCGCATTGGGTCCAAGCATGCTCCAGAGAAATCCCACCTCTTTATAAAGGGTCTAAGAACTCTGCTTCACACATACTTATCAGACTCTGCTCATCAAAAGTCAAAGCTTGAATGTCAAGTCTCTGAAGGATCAATGCCAAGGCCATTGTCTCGAACCTCCAAAGCGCATCCGACTGAAGACTCCTGCAGCTCCACCTGAGAAAAAGGGCTTGGTTTTTGAACTGTATGCACTTGCAGAATGCCTCACTGGTGTTGCTTCAGCTATAATAAGTCATTCCATTCAGCAGTTTCCAGCGGTTTTGACACTGCAAGGAACTGATCAAACCAACTAAAGTGAACAAATCTATACTACCGACCGGTGACTTAGGACTTGTGTGGGCCAGTGACATAGTAGTTGTGGCCCACTACGCCTAAGTCATTGGGAACACAAAAACTGCAGAGTTGCTGATTCAAGCCTCATGACTTGGGAATTGTCGCCAGCTGATGATCAAGCATTCTGTTTTTTTCAGGGAGGGAGGGGAATTGATGCACACAGAACAAATGACATAAGAAACGGCCTGCTCATCATGTTTCATCATGCCTCCTGTACATTGCTCAAAAATGCTTTAAAACCCATGACAAAGGAGTTGTAAAACCCACAATACGTTTGACAACTCCTTTGTCACTAGTCGAGAGTATAAAGATTGAAACTGAAACTATCGATGAGTGCTATTCAACCAACCGTGCTACCATCTTTGGAGCCCAAAGCCGCCTCTACCATGGAGGCCTCTGCATCGATGGCGTTCAGTACCATCTCTTCTGCCGCACGGGCTAACGACGGCACCACCACCCCTCCACGCAGCTTCCTGAAGCTCCAAAAACGACCCAAAAGCTCCGAGTGCGCCGGGTACAATACAACGGTCAAACAGGCTTCGTACAAACCACAAAACACCTGGTCCCTACAGGAGACTGAGGCGTCCAAGGATCGCAATGACATCGTCTGGCAACTTCTGAATAACTGGAGCAGTGTCCATCGCAAAAGCTGCTGTTTTGCAAAGTACAAACAAACATCATCTGACTCCCTTCGCGGTTGGCAAGTTTACGTGAGACGTTCATTGTGTAGGTGTTTTCATGTTTGTTCAGTGCAAATGTCCATCCTTCAGAATAGCTGAGCCACCGATGGCATGCTGACAAGTTCACTCGAGGCCAGTGGGGGTCAACAAAAGCTAGGGCGATCGGTTGCAAGAGTTCATCGTGTAATGAGCCAACTATATTAGCACAGCGTATCTTTCGCGATAGGGCCTTTTTGTTCTCAACCTGTCAAGTCACGCACATCGAGGGTCAAAGCCGAAAGTTCTGAAGAAATTGCTGGACAAGAAGTGTGGGATCGCGTGCTCTGCGCTTCCACACATCTCTCAAATGTGGACTAAAGCAAGTCGAAAAAAGTTGCCTTGTGGAGGTTTCACATCGCACAAATCAAGAGTTGAGATTATTCACGTGCAAGTAGCCAGCCCCTCAATTGATCCTTCCTCAAGGCCCTCGTGGCACAGGGACGGGGGGGGGTAGCCACGACTACTACTACTT